TTTTTTTGCGACCTCAAGATGCCTTCAGGGCATTTCTGGTTTGGCTTGAGTATCTGGATTCAAAACACAGCATCCTGAGCCTGAATGCTTTGTTTAAGCAGGCACTTAAACAACTGAGCTAGGGGAGATAGCTCAGTAGAATAAGTGCTTGCCTGGCAAGCGGAAGGACCTGAGTTCAATCCCTGGTTCTGCCAAAATAAAAAGAAAGATGCCAGGACTCAGGCCTGGGCCCCTTGGCTGCTGCTAAGCCTCTGTCTGTTCCCTTCCCCTAGGTCGGTGGCCAGACATCTCATTCTTGAAGATTTTATTTGGTTTGGGTTGGGTTTTTGTTTTATTTATTTATTTATTTATTTATTTATTTATTGGTGGAACCGGGGATTGAACCAAGGCCCTTGTGCTTGCCAGGAAAGCACTTATTCCACTGAGCCATCTCCCCAGCCCCAAGAGTTTTTGTCTTTGGAAACAGGATCTCACTGTGTAGCCCAGGCTGGCCTCGAACGCAAGGCCATCCTCCTGCCTCAGCCTCCCAAGGGCTGGGATCACAGGCATGTGCCACCCTTCCTAGCTGTCTGCAGGCTTGGGGCTGGCAGAGTGCAGGTTACTTTCACTGTCTCCCCAAAGCCCACCCTGTGACAGTTAGGCAAGCCCTTGGCCAGAACTAGGAAGGGGATGAGCTTGTGCATTCCTTCACCCTCATGCTCCTGCCTCAGTTGTCAGGAAGCCTGGCACCAGACCTGAGCATGGAAGGATGTGCTGGACATTGAAGTTGACGAAGACAACCCTCTTTTCCATCACGGTCGCTCCCCAAAGCCTCTCCCCTCCCCAGAGAAGGGGAAAACAATGACATTTCTAGATTTTAAAAAATACAATCAAAATTAAATTTCTCCTCAAAAAAAAAAAAAATCATAGGGGCCAGGGAGATAGCTCCGTAGAATAAGTGCTTGCCTGGCAAGACTAAGGGCCTGGGTTCAATCCCTGGTTCTGAAAAAAAAAAATCAAAGAGAAAAAGAGTGAGTGACCTGAGGGGGCCAAGAGTGGCTGCAGAGGGCCATTACATCGATGGCCCAAGAAGGCGAGTCTGGAAGCTCAACCACTGAGGACCATAGAATGGTGTGGATCTGGGCGCTGGGGTGACTGCTGCATCCCTGCTGGAAGAGACCTCCTGGCTCCCCGGCCCTGGAGAGTGAGAGAGCCCAGGCCGAGGACAGGCAAGGCCCTTTCTGTTGCCAAAGAGAAAGAGTACAGTTACACTCCACAATGGCCTAATTGGAAATGCCTGCCGCCCCACGGGAAGATTTACTGGCCATCCTAGAAGGCCCATGTATAGAATATGAAAAGGCTGCTCTCAGCATTCCCCCCAACTTTTTATTTTATTTTTTTAAATATTTATTTATTTATTTTGCATTTTAGTACAGGGTCTACAGTGTCTCACTACACAGATTGAACTCGTAGTGATCCTCCTGTTTTCAGCCTCCCAAGCGCTGGGATTACAGGCGCGCACCACCACACCCAGTCTCAATCACCGTCTCAGTGAGCCCTGGGGTTGGGGCCAGCACTGCCTGCCGGGAATCAGACCCTGGGAATCAAACCCCTGGCCCCTGCATCTGCCTAAGCAGGTGCTTTAGTCTGCTGAGCTATTTGGCCGGCCCTCCCCCAACCTTTTGAAAAAGAACTTTCTGCATGTGGACAGTATAGATGTAAAGAGGTGGCCAGCATATATAAAATAATGAGAAAAACTACATGTCTTGGAAACGTCCTTTGCTTTAAAAAATGACAGACATGTCTTCTGGAAGTGACTTTTTTGAAATGGAGTTCTAGGGGCCGGGGAGATGGCTCAGTAGAATAAGCACTTGCCTGGCAAGCGCAAGGGCCTGAGTTCAATCCCTGGTTCTGCAAAAAAAAAAAAGAAAAAAGAAATGGAGTTCGTTAGATCATCTGGAGAAGCACCGTTATAACTTGTCCACGTTTCTTCTGTGGGTTAGAGGACACAGAGCAGAAAAAAAAAGAAGGTCCAGTACCAGACTGGATACATGTGGAAGACGTTCATATTGTAGCCATTGTTTTGTGTGTGCATTTTAGTCCAGATATATATTATATATATGCCATGTATATGTCAAATATATACACACATGTGTTTGACAGTGCTCAGTACTTTATTGAAATATCTGGTAGTTGGAGATATTCTAAAGTGCCTGATAACATGTTCAAAAGTAAAGGTAGGGGACTGGTGAGATGGCTCAGTGGTCTAAAGCACCTACTTAGAACAACCTTAGCAAAACACATGGATGGCGGTTCAATCCCCCAGCATCACATGCCCGCCAGCCCGCCCCCTGGTGGGCTGAGCTGGCCACACACACACACACACACACACACACACAATAAATAAATAAATAATTTTTTTTTAAAAAGTAAAGGTAGTAAAATAATGCATTTTGTAAATTTCTTGTTAGAGCTCACTTGAAGTGTTATGGGGGCAGGGTAGGCGAGGCCCCTCCTGAGTAGTACACTTTGTTCTTGTACTGGTTCTCGGACAAAAAGGACATGGAGAGTGCTGAGCTCGGGCGCTACAGCAAGGCCAGTTGCCATCCTCCCTCAGGTCTGTGGGCTCTGTATACTGTGCCGGGTAGGGAGGGGGCGTAAAGGCCAGATGGGACCTTTCGTAACATCTAGTTTTCCTGGGTGGTAAGCAGGCTGCCAGTTTTGATTAAAGTAGTTATTAAACTGACAAGTTTTGTAATAAAATTCCCAGGAGATTGTCTTCAGAAAGTGTGAGCATTTTAGCCCTCTGGGTTAGTGGCGAAAGGAAGGGTTCTAGATGCATATTTTCAAGACACTTTCAACTATGGTTGCATGTGTACAGTTTAACCAAGACTGTTGTATACATAATGGACAAACTGAGTCCATTAGATATGTTTACTAGAAACATTTACCCAGATGTTTAGAAGTGTCCAACGTATGTCAAATGTAGAGGTAGGAAAATATCACTTTGTAAATATTTTTTTACTAAAGTTCATATGCAGTACTGTATTTTGGGAATGGAATGGTTAAACCACCTCTTGAACAATATAGCTCTCTATACTTGTTCAGTGGTTTGGAGGCGGTGGGAGGGAAGCAGTTACAAGAGGCATTATGTTAGTGTGTTGTATTTGGATATTTTGAGACATCTTTTTTAGTGTTTTGTGGGGTTTGTTCTGCTGCATACATAGTGTATATAAGAGAGGGCTGGCCAACTAGCTCAGCAGATTAGAGTGCCTGCAAGCAGGCACAGGGTCCTGGGGTTCGATCTGGGCCTGCCATGCTAGCCTCACCCCCGGGCGTGCTGAGACAGCAACTGAGACTGGGCGTGGTGGCGTGCACCTGTAATCCCAGCTCTTGGCAGACTGTAAACAGGTGGATCTCTATGAGTCCAATCTAGTA